AGGGGTAGGCTACCCACAAACTCAACCCATCACTCTTTGGGTGGGCCTATTATGCTAGCTTTTGCGGCGGGCTTTTATGTATGTACAATTTTATTTAAAAAGTTTTCAACTTAATAGTTTTGTAAATTATATTTTTGAATTAAAAGTAGAGTAAGAATAGATAAAAAAATAAATAATAAATAATTTTATTTAAATAAAATATAGTCATATATTATCACCAAACTTTCAAAATTTTAATAGTCAATATTTTTTCAAACAATTGGGTGGAAGGGCGGGGGTTTGAACGGATTTTTATGGGTGGCTCATCGGTAGGGTTTCGGCCTGGATAATGGATTTGAGGGCAAACCCAAGTCCTCTATTGAAGGACTTTAGGTCGGGCTTGGACAGGCCAACTATCGGACCTGTCAAGTTTTGAGCTTATTCTTTTCGGGTTGGATAACAGGACCCATAGGCTAACCCGGCCCATGGACATCCCTACATAGCACAACGTTGAGCCCAAGACTATCAATAATGATTCCTCAAGATTTTTTGTGCAATTGTGATTTTTTGCATTATGATTAATAAAAATGGTCATGCTTATCTTCCTAATATCGAGAAAATATTTAATGTAATAAAGATATCACGTCATTAATATCAAGTGGTATCACACAATTTTTCCTAAAATGAGCATTTATGTTTTTGTATCTAACTAATGTACCTTTTTCCAAAGGGTTAATCTCATTTTCACCCCGAAAGATCGTTCAAATCTCAATTTAATCCCTCAGAGATTAAAAATCTCAATTTACACCCTCAAATATAGAAATTTATATCAATGTGCACTCCTAGAGAAAAAAAATCTCAATTTGTACCCTTAAAGATAGAAATATGTATCAATGTGCACCTAAAATTAAATTGATAAATTATACCTAGATCCCCTCATGTTTGTCATTTAATCATTTGAACCCCTTCACATTTAGAATATTACCCCTACATTTCATGACGTTTGTGCATATGTAACATATAACCACTTTTCGTTAATATCTGTTAATATAATCATTAAAAAATATGATGTTATTTTAATAAAAAATTATAATTTCATACTACCCTTTATTTTGTAGATTCGATATACTCTAAAGTTCAAAATCAAACTTACTATTTGAATGTATAATATATAGATATTTATATAAAGGGTAATATGAAAAACATTACATAAATATCTACATTTTATTAGATATTCAAATGGTAAGCTTGATTTTGAACTTTAAAGTATATTGGACCCATAAAATAAAGAGTAATATGAAATTATAATTTTTTATTAGGATAAAATCATATTTTTTAACGGNTTTTGAACTTTAAAGTATATTGGACCCATAAAATAAAGAGTAATATGAAATTATAATTTTTTATTAGGATAAAATTATATTTTTTAATGGTTATATTAACAGATATCAATGAAAATGGGTTACGTGTTATGCATGTACAAATGTCATGAGATGTAGTAGTAATATTCTAAATGTGAAGAGGTCCAAATGATTAAGTGACAAGGATGATGAGATCTAGGTATAATTCATCAATTTAGTTTTAGGTGCACATTGATACAAATTTTTAACTTTGAGGGTATAAATTGAGATTTTTTATCTTTGAGGTGCACATTGATATAAATTTCTATCTTTGAAGGTGCAAATTGAGTTTTTGATCTTTGGGGGTGTAAATTGAGATTTGAACAATCTTTCGAGGTGCAAAATGATATTAACCTTTTTCCAAAACATTTTTTAATGTGTACTTTTTTGTCAAATAAGTCTAATTAGGTGTACCAATTTTCAAAAATCCCTTGTCGTTTGTTAAGATTGTCAGATAATGTTTCCTCGTCTTTTGTCCAAGTGTCATGGTGCGGCCGTCGGGGAATAGCGCGTTGCCGAGCTTCCAATTCCTGAGCAGGTGTATATTCTGAGCTTGATTATTCCGAGTTGTCATATATTTCGAGCCTGATGATGTCGAGCTGACTCATGCTCCAGGTTGGGGTGTCGTGAGCTACTATGAGACTGGGCCATAACCCATGCCTGGGCCTTGTGACAACTATGTGGGTGAGGTGTTGAGGTCGCCTCATGTATGGGCCCAAAGAGTTTTTTGGTCTTTAAAGTGGGATCAGACTTAAA